AATATGTCTGATAAGTGCGTAGAATTACCGGGAGTGAAAGTGTATTGATATACTTACACCAAAAAATTGCGACATTTCACCTTATTTGGTACTTTTTCATTCTGTCGAAATTTATCGTTTGCACTTTGTAGTCCCGTGAATACATCAAATAAATGTTGGCTAGTCGGCTTTATGAGTTAAGTGCCTCATTGAGCATTATATCCCAAAATATTAACGTGCTTCGCCTAACGGGATAAGAACTAACTTTTATTGATATGCTGACACAGTTGATGCTTTAAAACATGGAATCGAAGTTGCTGTTCAGGAGATCCAAGAGCAAACCATCAGAAAAATACTAAAATAAAAAATTGGATTATCGATGCTGTCGGATACTTGGGAATCTGAAGGAACTGTATTTCATTGTTAGACGTCACAGTTCCACATTTCTGACAAAACCAGAAATTTGTAAGAAATAATAGTTTCCTTTTCATAGCCGATACAAATTTCAAATTTTAAATGGCACACCTTTTGTACAGGGTGGCCAATATATAACTGACTGATTTAAATTGCGCGCCATTTTTGATATACGCATTTCAGTAGGTGGCACCGTATTAGTTGTTTAAAGCACATTTGTCCAATTCATCATATATAATGAATCTACTGTTGCAACGATTCGGAAACTTCGGTGGAAATAATTTGCCCAGTGTCAACACCATTCGTCAGTTTTTGCGAAAATTTAAACAAACAGGTGAAGTCTTGCCAAGATCGAACTCCGGAAAATATCGAGAGAGACATCATTCTCAAGAACTTTTTGTTCGTCGCACCTCATTATGTACTATTTTAAAAAAAGACTTGAATTTGCGGCCATATAAAATTCAGTTAACACAATATCTAGCCTAGTGACCATGAAAGTCATTGACAATAGAATCATGCAATATTGCAGCTTAATATCCAAAATAACGATTTTTACCGACAACTGATAATGTGCGATGAAGCCCACTTCGATATGAACGGATTTGTAAATAAGCAGAATTGTCGTATCTGGGCATTAGCGAACCCTTGTGTCATCCATCAACGACCATTACATCCTCGCCGAGTCACAGTTCGGTGCCGTGTCTGGTATGGAGGTGTCATTGGACCTTACTTTTTTGAAGACGCTGCATGTAATTATCTTACTATCACTGGAGGGCGCTACCGTGATATGGTGCAAACATTTCTGGCTCCTCAAATCCAACAATTTAACCTGCAAAACATGTGGTTCCAGCAGGAGGGAGCAACTTGTCATACAGCTAGGGAAACAATGAATCTTTTGCCAACAATATTTCCGGGACGTTTAATTTCTCGATTTGGTGATGCCAACTGGTCACCAAGGCCACCTGGTTTAACGGCTGCTGACTCTTTTTTGGGGATTTTTGTAAAATAGGGTTTATGCCAACAAAGAAATATTGTAGAGCAGCTGAAGAACAATAAAAAAAACCTACCAAAAAGTGATGGAAAATGTAATCAATAGGGCTCAGGTTTGCGCGGCTTCTAGAGGCGGACATTTGTCTGATATTATTTTTCATACATAATTTCTAAGTGTCAATAAAAGATTAAGATGAAAACATGGACGTATTTTATTCCATTTCAGAAATGTTCAAGATACAAGCCAGTCAGTTACATATCGGCCACCCTGTACATACACAGGTGTTCAGAAGATCGGTGCCATCTTTTAAAGGGGTAATACTACATCTACCTTAGTACAAAGTCGAACCGTATTTGTGTTACAATTTTATGGAATTCTAGAAAAAAAATAAAATCATGCGATAAACGCTCGATTAACAACGAAGAGCAACTCCTTTGTTCTCTCATTATTATCAGTCATGTTAATGTATGGTCTCCCTATACGGTTTCCAACTTACGGAAATATCGCATAAACGTTATTAAAAATAAAGTTGGTTTGCCTAATCTGGCAACGGTGTAATTTAAAATCTATGAAAAAACTTTCTTCATCTCTGATTTCCTTATGGTATGCCATACAAGGGGATACAACCATGACTTTTCCAATAATAACCCAAAATATTAGATCAAGCAAAACATCCTCGAAATTACAAAAAGCATAAAATCCACTTTTCGTGAAACAAAGCACTTAACAGTGACAAAAATATTCATTATATTCGATAACCGAATGCAAATTTTTATTTGTTATCGGTCAATTAATAGTTTTGCCACTGTCAAGTACTTTGTTTCACGAAAAGTGTTTTTTGTAACTTCAATGTCATTCTGCTTGATCTAATAGATTGGGTCATTAAGGAAAAAATATGGTTATGTTGCTTCATATGGCACCATACAGAAGAGCAGAAGTTTTTTCGTTGATTTTAAACTACACTACCATTTTTCCACAGATTCGTTGGAAAAGTCGCAAAGCACTGCTAAATCTAAACATTCAGTAAGCCAACTTTACTTTTGAAAAGTGTACGCGATATTTCGATAACTTGGAAAAATATTTGTATAGAGAGACTATACATTAAGATAAATGATGAAAATAAACAAATCGAGGGATATGCTCTTCTCGATATTGAACAAACGATGGTTTAAGACAACATGATTTTGGCCAAATCTACCAAATGGGGTGTATCAAACTGATAAACACAGGATTTGTGACATGACAATTTTTGGGTGTATCTTATGTATTTTGAGACCCTTAAATCAAATCTAAAAACAGAATTTTTTTATCACCCACAGATATTCGGTAACATCTACTTTTATGAATTACAATACGTAACATCTCATATTGCTGCATTTCTTCACATGGTGTAAAATGTTAAGACCTGTCTATTCCTGTTTATTATATGCGAGCTCTATGTTTAGAGAGCATATTGCGTTTATTAGTAGACTAATAGCAGCCGAGTCAGTTACGTTTTCTGTCTTGAAGAGTACTGAGATGTTCTGAGTACTGTTAACTTTTGTTAAAACGGTGTGTTGTTTTTAGTTTATTGTGACCGAGACTAGCTTTATGGACAATGCCTAGAAATTGTGTAAATAGTGCGAACATTTTTTGTTATGTGTGAGGAGAGCTAACTTTTAAATCCCAGAAACGTACTTTTACTCCCCTTGTGTTGAAGGCATGCGAACCTTATTTTGGAATTAAAGTTGGCGACCAAGATAAACTATGGACCACTCATATATGAAGACTTGTGTAACGTTGTTAACAGGTTGGTTGGGAGGCGACAATAGTAAAATGCCCTTTGCGGTACCAATGGTTTGGAGAGAACCAAGAGACCATACAACTGATTGCTATTTTTGCCTCACAAACATTAGAAGTATTGCATCAAAATCGAAACATAGAGTTAAGTATTTTAATTTACCATCAGCTTTGCGGCCCGTTAAGCATAGTGATGAACTTTCTGTCCCGGTTTTACCGGAATCTTAATCTTTGGAAGAAAAGGTCGAATCCACTGATTCTGAAAGTGATGGTACAGAAAGCGTAAAAATTTCCAATCCTTCGTTTGACCTGCCAGGATATTCAACAGCGCCGCATTTGATCACACAGGGCACAACTTGATCACTTAGTTCGAGAATTAAATCTGTCAAAATCCCAGTCAACTTTTAGCGTCAATATTAAAAGGATGGAATCTTCTCCACGGTGATATCAACATTACTTTTTAACGAAATCGGCAACAAGACCTCAGACACTGTTTCCGTCAAAAAAGGGAGTTGATATATTGCTCCGATGTCAACAATTTCTTTGACGCATTAGGAGAGAAACATGATCCAAATGATTGGCGCCTGTTCATTGATTCCTCTAAGCTTAGTTTAAAAGCGGTATTGGTACATATCGGTAATAAATATCCATCTGTACCTATAGCGCACGCAGCTCATATCAAGGAATCATAATATAAAAATATGCGAGTTCTGTGAGAACATATCCGTTATAATGAATATGGATGGGCCATATGTGCAGATTTAAAGGTAATACCCTTTCTTCTTGGAAATGCAACTGGGATATAACAAATATTGTTGTTTTCTTTGTGAATTGGACAGTCGTGCGCGAGATCGTCATTATGAACAGTAGTAATGGCCACTACGTCAAGTATTATCTCGCCTCAAAGACATTGCTCATAATCCCAAAAATGTGTTGCTTCCACCTTTGCATATTAAGTTGGGACTGATGAAAAATTTTGTGAAATCTATGAATCGAAATGAAAGAGGGTTTCTGCGTTTAAAACAAAACATTTCCGAGACTTTAGTGAAGCAAAAATTAAAGAGGGCATATTTGTGAGTCCACAAATACGGAAAATCATGGAGTATGATGTATTTGACAGTTCTCTAAATTAAACTGAATTACGAGCTTGGAATACTTTTAGTCAATTACTGCAAATTTTTTAGGCAATGTGAAGGCCGACAATTATAAAGATATTGTGAGTGAACTAATTAATGCTTATAAAGGAATGGGATGTAACATGTCTCTAACAATTCACTTTTTAGATTCTCATCTCAATTTTTTTCCGGGAAATTTAGGCGCGGTAAGTGATGAACATGGTGAACGGTTCCGTCAAGACATTTCTGCTATAGAAAAACGGTATCAAGGCAAATGGAGTGTGAATTTGTTTGCTGATTATTGCTGGACATTGTTAAGAGATACTTCAGGAGCAACAAATCGCCGTAAAATAACGACAACAACATCCTGAGATTAACGTTTATTCGAGTGTTTATTAGTACTCTTACACACATATCCTTATATTTTACGAGTATAAGCAGCAAACAAAATGCCTTATTGCAAGAAAACCATGGGTGATAGAAAAAATCGAATGCTATTTCCTGCTTTTTGGGTACGTTTAGATAATAACGACCTTGTTTTGTCCATGTTACAAAATATTATTTTAATTTTGTTCACCAGTGTTATCACCCCTTAAAAAGATGAAACAGGCGTTTCGAACACCCTGTATAAACTTTTTTCTTAGAATAACTCATGAAGTTCGGCCAGCTACTTTGTTAACACCCTGTATATTCAATCAATTTCACTTTCACTGAACGCTCACCAGAAGGCAGATCCTCAACTTCATATTGCAAAACGGCTGACACTACACTTGTAAACGATGTAACTCATCAGAAAATAGCGCAATTTCGTGAGCACTTTTCGCCAGAAGATGGATGGTTTTTCCTCAGACAGGTGTATTTATACTTTCACAAAAATATTGCAGAGTAATGTCAAGGCCTACTCGGATATTGGTCGATGACGCCGCGCCGGTGTCATCCCAGAAGCATGGATTAGTAATTATCTGGGGATTTACTGATGGCATTCGACCGTTTGCAATGTTTGTATAGGGTGTTTACACGGCTTGCGCATAATTATTTTACTGGATACGCACTTAGATGGTGGACAAGAAATTAGCATTAGTATCCAATTTTTAAAATTAATTATGCTTTTTTTTGCAGTTACATGACGTGTACGAGGGTAATTTTACTTCTCACACTCACTGGCGGGGAAGTAATAATAATAATAATATATTTCCATTCGACTTGTACAAACAAGTATGGGAAAGTGTCATAAATAAATAAACATTTCACTGAATGGGTTGAATATACATATAGATATGTATATCTATATATGTATATACTTCCGCATCTTAAATTTACATAAATAAATCACGTCACATTATTAAAAACATATAGGATATCTAACAATATTAGAGTACATAAACAGCACGACAAGAGCACGATAAAATGTAAATTAAAATTGATGGTTGAGGTACTCGTCAACAGAGTAAAATGGATATAGCAACAAATCTCGTACTTTGCGTTTGAAGACTGAAATAGATACTATGCCCTTAATCGACACGGGTAAGTGATTAAACAATCTCACAGGCATGACAGAAGCTCCTTTGGAGATAGAGGCAAGGCTGTGAGTAGGTATAACTACATTGTGGTTTGTACGGAGGTTATAACCAGACCTGATAGTCACATCATTTCTGGAGACATAGCATTCGTAATTTTCTTTAACATAAACGACAAACTTATAAACATACAAGGAGTATACTGTCATGATCTTCAGGTAACTGAATAATTTTCTGCATGAATGCCTGGAGTTTTTAAGCAACATGGTTATGATAATCCTTTTTTGTACTATAAATAATTCACCAACCCTGTTACTACCACCCCAAGCAACAATACAATAGCTTAGTGTGGAATGGACGTGAGCGAAGTAGTAAAGCTTTAATATTTCAGTACTTACGTGACGTCGAAGCTGCCATATAATGAATGATTGGGTTGACAATCGCTTGATCAAACACTCAATATGTTTACCAAAGGTTAGCTTAGTATCTAAATAAATACCAAGGAATTTTGTGTAGTTGTTCTGTCTTAAGTTATATCCCTCACCATAAACACGTAGGCTGAAATTTAAATCTATATTTCTGAATAGAACTACATCAGTTTTTTGTGAGTTTAAGATAAGGCCATTGGAGTTACAATAATTTCTCATTTGACAGAAAGCATTATTTGTAAGTGTACCCAATGAGTGAGGATAGGAAGCATGAGTACTGAATGTAGTATCATCTGCAAAAAGTGTTTTGAATACGCCAGGACAAGAAGTCGAAATATCGTTGACAAACAAAATGAATAACAAAGGTCCTAAAGTGCTCCCTTAAGGCACCCCTGTTGATACTATCTTGGCATCAGATTTATATGATTGAAAGTTATTAGTGATTTTTACTGATTGCATCCTATCCTGTAGGTACGTTTTAATCCAATTATACGCGCACCCCCTTATTCCATACTGTTCCAACTTATTCAACAACAAGAGTGATTAACTGTATCGAATGCACGACTGAGATCAAAAAATATGCGTGCTGTTGTTTCTTTATTTTCAGACTTATGTCGGTGTGGAAGGGTTCCGAGACTATCCGTCAGAAAAGTGTCATTGTTTAGTCGAAGAGCCCTCTGAACAGAATCGAGTATGAACAATGTAGTCGGGACGACAGAACCCCAGACATGTAAGCAGTGCTAGGTCTTATCTGGGCATTGTACAAAGTACTTTTTAGACATAAATAAATAACCTAGCTTTGGACCGGCAGCTGTTCTGGTTGAAGAGATGTGTTGATGCCACTATACTGCCAGAATCGACGACATCTAGCGGCCACAGTGGTGAACCGGCTGTCAAACGCGAACTGGGATACACTCCCAACAGAAAGCTTGCTGTTTTCGCTCTTGCAGTGGTCAATTTTGTGTTGTCCGATTTCAATAGAGAAGTTTTGTGTAGAGTTATGATTCTTCAATATTATAAGGATAATCACCCTGTATAACACAACTAATCAGTTGTATGCAATTTATTTTTTTATAGTTTTGTTTTGTCATACATACATAGTAGATAATCAAAGCTTGAGATTTGATCGATTTAAAGAAAAATTTTAACGAACCATTTACAATACGTTCAATCAACGCATTCATAGGTAGTTCACGGTTGATATACTCTGCGGTCTTGCAATTTACGATGTTTATATTTATAAGTAAATTAGCGTTAAGTCAATGATGTTCAATTTACAATGCTGTTAAGAGAAGTTGGCACTTGAAAATTTCCACATGATTCATGGATTTGTTATTATGTAAACGTATAACTACATAGTTACGCCAATTACTTATTTTACTCAGAAGTGTACACGCAAAAAGATGTAACTCGATACTAAAAATATTAATAATAATAGTAGTAGTAGACGTCTTTATTTATCTACAATAACATTATAGTATAACCAAATGTAAGACTTATATGATGAAGTTTAGCATGGCTTTATTTTCTAACAGAAATTCATAAAAGTCGGAGCAACTCAGGTCTTTGAAGTTAAACTCGAAGAAATCATGTGTGCTTTTAGTGAGTGATTCTACTACGTTCATCGATTGCGTGATCGATCACCGGATGCACGAGCTGATTGACCGTGACAAACGCTCAGATGTTAATGTGTTAATGATTTAGCAGACACAACAGAGCCGCTATCCAGTGCCTCATTTGTGTTACTCGGAGTAACTCGGAGCTGCCCACCATCTGTCAATGCCGTTCCAGTGCTCTAGTGTCATGCACCCGAGCTACTCATTTTTAAATCCCCTGCCCCCTCATACACCAGCTTTTTATTCAGTGTTAAACGGTGCGAAATAGCGGAGATAACGAAAATGACAAACAATGTGTCAAGATTGTCAGTTGATGTTTTTTCACCATTTTTGTATTAACGTCTCATTAAAATATTATATCGGTATCAGACAACAGAGGGAGAAAAAGTGGTAATATATGACCCAGAGTTAGAAGACATTCGAAGTATGCCTAAGTAATGAAGATTACGAAAGAGCGCAAGAAGGCAAGTTCATAGCGGCTTGTACGTGGCTTCATCTATAACTAGACACTTTGAAAGTAATTTTCAATGACTAAACTAGAATATGAATTCGAGTCATCTACACAGGAGCTTTATAATAAAAATTCAGACCTCTGATGTGTTGTGCCATTCTAAAACCATCATCAGACATCAATTGCATGGTCTGACAAGGCTTCTGAAAATAAAGGCCAAATGTGTTTCACATTTTTATTGTTAGAGCTTTTTATTGTTAACTAAACCATTCTAAAGGAAGCACTTATGCAACAGTTTTAATAGAAGCAACCTGATAATCAAACAAACTCTGCATCTGAAGAACCGAAAGAAAACCTCCAACATAAAATGTTGCAGTATAAGGAAATATTTGCACTGATACGAGGTATGGAAAGTTATTAAGTATCAAGATGATTTACTTCATCCATAAAAGGGAAAACATGTATATAAGAATATTGCCAATGAACTTATTAGTATGGGATATTATGTGAATACCCAGTGCCAACAAAAATGGAAGTCTTTGGTACGCACATACACAGCTACTAAAGATAATAAGAATAAAACTGGAAGAGGCCCTAGTAGATTTCATTTTTTTTTGGTTGGCAACAAGCCCTCTAATAAATGTCAAAATCATTAGAGTCCAGTGAAGAGGGGTCAAGTGGTACAGCTGAGATAGAAAGACCGCTTGATACCGATTTACATAATGACAGTATAAGTGAAAATATGGTAAATACAGAGCAAAAAGGAAATAAAAACATATCAAAAAAGAAAGGTAAAGGAAATATTGAGGTCAATAAAAGAAGACAAGGAGAAGAAGAAAAAAAGAGAAGGCACCATGAAAAGATGGACCTGGAAAGAGAAAAACTAGCAGTTGAGAAGGATAAAATTGCTATTACGACTAACGAAAAAATTTGGTTTTTATTTGTTCTTGAGTGGTGCTTTTTGAGTTTTCATGAAGAATCCATTTGTTTTGTTTGTTTCTAGAGGATTTTCTTATGTTAACATGTGATATATTATTGCTAAGGATTATAATTTCTCTTATTCGTGAGTAGTGTTTTCTTTATTTTCTTGCTGGACAAGAAAGTAATTGTTTTGTTTGTTGAAACATCTTTTTTTAATATATGGTTGGTTTGAAATATGTTGATAAAACACATTTTAAAATTAAGTGTTCCTTTTATTTACAAGTTAGTAAAAAGTTAGTCAATAAATATAATAAAATATAATTATCAAGTGATGAATGAAACACAACAAATTACTCGTGTGACATTCACAAAACACTTGTTGCCATTTATGTTTATTTTTAAATTTTCAAAATGTCCCAACCTTTTGAATAGCATTTCTGATAAACCAACAATAATTCTTGTAGATGAAAGTTCAAAATTAAATTGTTTTTAGTGATTTGACAACATTCCATTATCTTTGAATGGAGGTACCAGCCTATCTAAAATAGGATCGCCAAGTAAATAATAATAATAATCCGTGTGGAGTTGCTAGTCTCCCATCCGGGCGCCTCCATGTGCGAATTAGGAAACGCTCTCCAGATATGGAGGGTACCGGGGAAATAAATTACCCGGGGTGGACAAAAACTAGCACCACCGCTCTATGGGTTAGCACTCCTAGAACGTGTATATTTAAATGCTCTTAAAACGAGAAATAAGAGATACTCAGGCGGGCTGGCGCATCAGGAGCCGGGTCGGAACCGTCTTGAAGATTTACCTGCAACCTACCGCGGCAATGAACAAGGACCAACCAGATTACCAACCCAGTCGAGTACACCACCACCAAACGTACCAAGCCAAGATGTCGGTGTTGCTGGGCCATCAGAGCCCATGCCCACCACGTCACAAGGCACAGTTAGGCAAAGAACCATGTGGACAGAAGAAATCAATGCATT